CTATCTATCTATCTGTCTGTCTCTGTCTATCTATCTATCTATCTATCTATCTATCTATCTATCTATCAGTCAGCTGTGGTGGAACAAGTATTCAGATACTTTACTTAAAAGTACAAATACCACAGTGAGTGAGAAAATACTACTACTAAGTACATTTAATCAATGTAAATGCTATTTAGGTAAAAGTATTATCAGCAAAATGTAGTTTTTGATAGTAAGTATCAAATATAAAAGTACTCTTTCTCTGTTTTACTATATTATATATAATGTTTTTTTAATTAGAATCAGAATCGGGTTTATTGCCAAGTAGGTTTGCCTCGGTCAGTTGGTGTATAAGAATTAAACATAGAAAAATATAAAGAAAGATAGAAAGAGAGACAATAAAAAGAGACATTATATACAAATATAAAAAGAGTTAGTTAGCAGTGTGACATATAATAATATTTGTAATGTAATAAGTAATTGTAATAAGATAAAAACTGAGGAAAGTGCATCAGGGTGGGTGGTAGGTTTATATTATAGTATAGTAATATAGTACTGCTGCATTAATGTGCATGTTTCATATGTTGTTTAAGGTTGAGCTACTTTTAATTACTTTATATACTATTGAGTAGTTTAATCTATACAACATATACAACATAATGTGTTTGTAGCATCACCGTCCCATGAGAACCACATATCTCTAAAAAGTTAACTTTTCATGAAAACAGCCCTGTTTTCAACTTTGTGACAGTGGATTTTTTAAGCTTATCCAAGAGTGGTTTTAAATAGTTTATTTAGCTCAAGAAGTAGGAGAATTTGAACACTTAATCCTTCAGTTTATCAGAAACATTCAAAATCACCAGAGTTGAAAATATTTGGTTTTCTCTGGACAGGAAGGGTATGAAAAAAGCTGTCAGACAGAGTGAAAAGTATAATATTTGCCTCTGAGATGTAGTGGAGTAGAAGTATAAAGTTGCATACAATGTAAATACTCAACTAATCACAAGTTCCTCAAATCTGTACTAAAGTCTCCTACAGTACATTATTTTAAATGAACAGTTTGTACATTTATTCTGATGTTTTCATGCATTTTCACTATATTTGGTTGTATTGAGTGAATTGAACCATGAGCTGACCGTGGTCCTGAAACGCCAAAGGTTAACAATCTCAGTTTCAAACACAGAGTCCTTGAGTTAAGAATAGCAAAGAATGGTGTTTTGGCAAACACCACAAGTGGCACTCAGTAAAGGTTAATTGTGCACAGTGTTTCAGGTAGCTATTGTTTAGGTGGTATTAAGTAGGATTACCCAGCTGGTCAAATATGCAGACAAGCCAGGGGACAACAGCTGTGACGCTGGCGCGTCATAGTTCAAGTATTTCCAATATGCAAATTAAATGTGTATTTTATTGAACTGGTAACATGTACAAACCTTTTAACTGTATTTTAAGTTTATCATATCATACACACTTAATGTATTACCGCTGGCCTTTCCCTCTTAGCATGAATAACCTGAATATGCAGCATAGTTGTTTCTGTGCGACTGCTCTACCTACTATTTATTTAGGATAAAATGGCATTTGAATGTATTTAAAAAAAAAAAAAACTTGAGTAACACACATCCAAAAACCAACACTTACTAAGAATTTGAATATTCACATTTTACCGATTGCTGTTTGTGCTGCTGAATTCTTGACAAAATCAAATCCCTTTCAATATCCCAGGGGGTATATTGCAACACAGTGCAAGACAATTGCAACACAACATTATGCAAGAAAGTCAAGGAAAAGAAAGCATGACTTTTTGGGTGACCTTTCTCAGTCTGTCCTCATAATATTTAATGGTCTTTTAAATTGGGAGACTTTCATATCAGAGCCTTTATTTCTTTCTCATAAGTTTAAGCATCCCGAAGGAAGAGTCCTATTTTTCTGCCTTAAATGTGATGGCTGAATATTACAAGTGCAGCCTGACCTCTATTATTTGAAGGTTTATTCTTTCTCTTTCAGTAGTGTGATTTAAAAATGAATTTAAAACCATAAGAGCATTTCCACTACTGCCAGAGTGTTCTTGAAGCATTGTCATATGAATCACTGTCAAACAGTTGTTTAATTCACAGATGGAGGATGCTTCAAAACTGCATGTTTGATATTAATGAAAATACAAACAAACCACAAAAACAAATCTGTTATATAGAGAAGTAAGCCCTGCATGCATGTGAGCAACCCCATATTCTACAGTGGATGAGCAGCAGAAGAGAAACTTAAAGAAGAGGGCAGGTTTCGAGATGACAGAGTTGCATCTAATATCTTGTGCATCACTGTATGAGACCACACAGAGCGGTTGCATCAAATTTGAATTTGAAATGATTTTATCACATAATGAGCATCCTGCCTGTTTTCAGAATTTTGGTTATGAAACATTGTTATGCAATGTCTAAAATAAGCACAAGGCAGTGCAGTTAGGACTGCAACGTGTGCTCACATTTAGATTACAATGAATCCAGTTTTATTTCTCTGAGGCTATGCAAAGTATACAATCTACAATGCACTGTGAAAGTCATGTTAAAATGTATTAGTAAATGATGGATTTTGTGATTAGAAACAGATATGATTAACCTTTTTTGTTGGTTTTGTTTGTTGTGTTGGTTATATTTTAAACCAACAAGCATGTCCATGACTCACATGTGTCTGAAATGTATATTTTCCATTTTTAAGTCAGTGTGGCCTGACTACTGAGTACATAAAGGTTAGTCTCTTCATAGAAATGGATATTCTTGAGGGAGAGGATTTCTTTGGGGAGTAATTAAAAGGGAGGTTTGTAAGGAGTTGGTTCTATTACAACTGCCTGATAATTATACAAATTAATCTATTTTTTACTCTGTGTTGACCATGAGAAATAACATCAATATAGTACATCAGCATAGAGCATATTGTTCAGTACAGCATCAGAGCATTGGAAAAAAATGAGCAAAGCTGTCAGCTATCAGGTGCAGCTGATGGCTTGCAGCACTACAGTACATAACATTAACACTGAGCACATTTATTTTAGAACTAGCAATGATTCACATTGTGCTGTGAAACTGAGCTGAGTTTCACCTACTGATGTCAGTATATCGGGCTGCAGAAACAGCTATAAAAAACAAGTTTTAAAATAGACAAAGCTTAAGCTAAAAGTTTTTTAGCTGAAGCACATTCTCAACAAGAACACCTGAAGTGAACTGGAAAAAAGAGAGAAACAGACAGATCTTATGGAAAATGGGAGCTGATCATAAAACATACTGACACCTGTCAAGTAAAATCTGCAATGGTTTCTATCACTACAGTCACAAAAATCATGTTGCAATGTATTGTGTGACATATCAGGCCGCTTCATCTCCTTTGAATACACTGCTGGGATCTCAATGACATATTGGTGCTGGCTCGTGTTTGTACCATCTGCCTTCTGAACAGAGTGAAGGCACATAGATCATCCAAACCGAATATAGAAAGAGGTGCTTATCACAACACAATGATAGAAAATCTACATTCAAAACTCTGAATACAACCTATCATCAAAATGTATGCAATTATTCACCCATCCTCCTTCAGAAGGTGGACAATGTGATTTTGATGAGGCACTTTGTGCGTAATGAGCTCGTGAATCTGGAGGAGGAGGATGCATCAATCATTAAACCTATTTAGCTGTTAAGCTTCATCCTAACAAGGTTACTAATGCTACTACCTACCTACCCAGCATCAAAGTGGAAGCCAGTGCTAGCAGTGTTAGCTGGCTCCTGTCGGCTAGAGCAACCAAAAAGAAAGACTGTCTGACCTTTCGCTCTTGAATGAATGAATGCCCCCCCCGTAGCTAGTTAGCCACATGTGCTTGTTAAGTGAAAAAAAAGTTCTGTAGGTAATGTAATTCTATATCTGTCTATGTTTATTTGTAGAAGCAGCTAGATGGTTAATTCTGAATTATTTTGCATTGTTGTTTCTCTAGCTAACATAACCTAACTTGCTAAATTTGGTAGCAGTTGTTGACCTATGGGTGACAACACCACTGTCATGACATTATGAAATATAGAAAAGACATGAAGTCACTGGGAAAATGCCGATATGGACATTTGAAAATATTCCCCATGTGAATTATATTATAAAAAATATCTAAGAATGTTAAAATCACTTTAAAATAATGATTTGAGTTATTATTAGTATATATCAAATTATTGTTTCATTTATAGATTTTACACAATTTATTTAAATAACTACTAATTTCATTGTTAGGTGTTCATTTACTCCACAGGTGAGTGACATCTGACTATGTTAACCGCGTTGCTTCTCATTTATTAGCTTTACTGTGCTGATCAAATTGATTTCTCTTAATATTTCTGTTGCTTGTGTTGCTCAGTCTAACCTGCATTAAAGTCCATTCTCATCTAGCTAACTGACTATATGATACATACACACATCAGCCAACTGCTGCAATTATCTGCTGAATCCTTCCAC